GGTTCAAACGCCCTGTTTTTTCGAACAACCTAGGCTCAAACGCCTAGTTCATTCGAACAACCGTATGGTTGTACGAAAGATTTGGGCGGTTGAGATGAAAGCTTAGAAAATTTAAACAACCACAACAATAAAAAAAAATCGAAACCCAGGCAAACGCCTAGGATTTTCGAAAACCCTAGGCGTTTTCCTGGGTTTCGAACTTTAAATTTTTTTATCAGCACACACCAAGTCCATATGATCCGACGAGCCTTCGGCGAGCAACATAGGTTGTGTTTCCAGTATTTCGTCGTCGTCCATAAGATCCAATAAATTTGATTTTGCAAAATTTTAAAAATTTGTTTGATTTTGAAAATCACGGTGGTTGGTCCCATGATCGTTGGTGGTCGTTGACCACTGGAGAGAACGGTTAAAATTTTTGTGTACGGTAAAAGTGTGAAATTGAGGTAAAATTAATTATTTTAATAATCGTTATTATAAGGATAAGTACGTAATTTTATGTTATTTTGCGGGCGTTAGTTAGATATTCGAGGGCGATATTTAACAACCCCTTTAGTATTGGTTATAAGTTGTCAAATAACACAAGAAAGTAGAATGTCATAAAAAATAATAAACAAAAGATATTCTTGAAAAAAAAAAAAACTAAAGATATATGGGAAGGAAATAAGAGAATATTTAGGCATAGTATATGAATCTGTCAATATGATTTCCTTGATTTCAAAAATCAAATAAATATGATTAAAATAGTGTAGTATTTCCTTATATCCATATTTTATATCATTCTATAATGTTGATCATTCAACAATCTATCATTATGCAATAGATAAAAATAAAATAAAATAATCCTAACTTAGTAGCTCTAAGTCTACAAATTTACCCTCTAAATTCCCGTTCACTTCATTTTATTTTTGTTCAACTGAAATTATTTTTGCCGAACTGAAATTATTTTTACTGAACTGAAATTAATTTTACTAAATTGATATTATTTTTGATGAACTGAAATTTGTACTGATTTTCTGTTATATTTCTTCTTTAAAGTTACTAATTTTTACTAAATTGTAATTTTTTTTACTGAACTGAACTTATTTTTGCTAAACTAAAATTATTTTTAGTGAACTGAACTTATTTTTTTACTGAACTAAAAATTATTTATACTGAACTGAAATTACTTTTTACTGAATATTATTTTTTTAAGGTGAAGTAAACAGGGCGTAATTCTACTTTTCCAAAAAACTTATTAATATCCAATTACAAAACAAAAAAAATAATAATAATAATAAAAAATTAAAAATTAAAAAAAAAAAAAACTTAGCTACCCCACTATAACATCAAAATCCAAATTAAATTGTCACAATCAATTCAGCAAAATTAGGAAAAAATAAATAAACATGGAACTGCAAAGCAACATAGAAATCATCACCCACAATCAAAAGGTGTTAATAAATATATAAATTTTACATTTGAAAAAAAATGGATGTTTAAATTACTGGCAATAATGAAAATCAAATGGATTTAATCCAAAATTTAGTGGTTGGTTACGCATTTCTTCGACCACAATACTTGTGATAATGGTGATTTTCTAGCTACTTCCATATGCATGATAGAATTGAGAAAGGTAAATTTACTTGTGTGGTTCTCATAATTTCGTGGAAGCTGAGTATGTTTTTGCTAAAGGTTTATCTTTGTCTTTAAACCAAGGATTTAATATTTATCTTGGGCGTAAGTTAAGTACCTAATTCAAAATTTTGTGACCACATTATAGGACGAAGAGTAAGTTTTATTATATTGATTAAACCAAAAATACACATATTGGTAAATAGTAGGAATGACAATGAGTCGAATTCGGGTCGAGTCTGACAAGACCTAGACATGGGTTTTTGGAGGTGGATCCAAAAATCCGACCCAAATCTAATGGGTATAAAAAATCAGACCTATATCCATTGAACTAGCGGGTCTCAAGTCTAAAACGGGTCCAAAATGGGTCTTATTATTATTTTTTTATAATCACTTATACTAAGTATTTTAAATAGATTATAACTTGCCTATTACTTGTGTGACTACACATAAAGTCATATAGATACATTAAACAATCTTAGCCGCATATTGCATATCAAAATAAACTTCATATAAAAAAGATACATTAATAAAATACTACTAAACATGCAAAAAAAAAAAAAAAATACTACTAAACATACGACAATCAACTTGGCGAGAGTAGGAGCTAGCCCTTAGAGCTGAGGAGTGTCGAGAGATTGTTATATAAATTAAACCCGAGCGTACGGTACACTCACCCATGAGCATTTTTTTCTCATTTTGATGATTGTTTCTCATTTAATCATCAAATGAAGAGCAAAAACTAACTTTGGGTTAGTTGAGTGTACGGTATACTTGGGTGTGTATAAAATATTTCAAGGAGTGTCGGCTATAGTTTGGAGTTAGGTTCTTTAGGTTTTCCTTTCATCTGATTCAATTCCTTAAATTAGATAACTCATGACTTATGTGAGTTTTTTATAAAATAAATATCTACTGGTCAAATCTGGATCGGGTCTATGTTTGAACTTTTCAGACCGGACCCATTGCACTGAGACCCAGATCCATTTAGGACCCAGACACTAAAATATGGGTTAGGTTTAGGTCGAATCTTGAACCCGACCATTGCCAACTCTAAGTAATATATGAATGAGCATGACTCGTATCAGTCATTCTAATATCAAAGGTAAAATATGTAAAGAACATAAAACCCTTTTATATCACTAATTTTTTTTTTTATTCAACATTGAATAAAAATAATGATACGCGATATCATGATGCACATTATTGTGAATGAATAAATGTATTCATTTTTTTCTCTTTTCAAAAATGATTTGGAATCTGATAAGCATTTTGGGTTGTGATTACCTTATACAAATAAAAGCTTATGCTATTGAGATTACCATACACTTTATTTTTATTTTGTTAATGAGCATATCAGCCAAGAGGAGAGAGAACGAAATAAAAATGTATTGTATATTGTTAATTATATTAGCCAACAAATGACTCATATCAGCCATTAAAATGTACATATAAGTCAATTGATGTCTGATATCACTCAACATTAGGGACATATCAGACATTAATAAAAACGTATCAGTCAACACAAAGAACATATCAGCCAACAAAAGAAACATATCATCAACAAAAGATACATATCAACCAACAGAAGGAATATATCAGCCAACAAATAAAACATATTAGCCAACAAAGGATGAAATCAGCAAACAAAAGCAACAGGTAAGCTAACAAAATAAATACATCAGCCAACAAAATGAAACATACTTCCTCCGTTCTATTAATATTGCAACAAGGATGAAATTAAACATCTCAAAGCACATTTTATATGCTAAATATCTATAATTGTATAAGAGTAAAAATTATAAAAAGTTAATATTGTGAAAGTATTTTATGAGACGAATCCAACAAGATCTCACATGACTATATTTTGCTTAACGTATAAATCATATTATATGGTCAAACAAAAGTGATGAATAGTGCGAAAAGTCCATTGTTGTAATATTAATAGAACGGAGGAAGTATAAGTCAACAAAATAAAGATATAAGTCAGCTAAAGAAACATATCAACCAACTGATGTTTTATAACAGCCAACAAAAGGAACATATCAAAAATAAAAAAAAAAAAATTACATCAGTCAATAAAAGGAATATATTAGCCAACACAAAAACCATATCAGCCAACAAATGAAACATATTAGCCAACAAATAAAATATATCAATCAAATCTGCCGCACGTAATTATGTGTGCGACACCCGCTCCCAATACCTTCTCTTAAAAAGAGAATACGAAGAATAGCCAAAGTTACAATGTATTCATTTTTTCTCCTTAAAAAAATGATTGCATACAGCATGCCCCGTAATGTCGGCAGCTCGAGTCAATACTCAATACTCTCATCCATTAGTTGGCTTAAAAATAAATAATTATCGATTTTTTTTTTATTATTATAATTTTTTTAGTTTAATGTGGATTCATAATATAGTGTAACTGTGTAAATCTTTGTTTGGCAAAATGTAGTTACAACAACATTATTAGTTGTGATACTCCCTCCATTTTTTTTAAAAGGATTCATTAGAGCTTGGTACAGTATATGTCGATGCAAAACTTTTAACATTAATATTTTTAATTATCAATAAGTATAGATTATAATAATTGATTATTAATAATTTATTTATTGACACGATTTCAACAAGTATATATAAGATTATATAGTTTCTTATACTTCCTTCGTTTTTTTTTATTGCATCATAGGGGTTTCGGAGGCAAAATTTGGTAGTGGGAAAAAGTAAGAGAGAGAAACGTAAAAATACAAAATTGTCCATGTAATGTAAGATAAAATAAAAAATAAGTGTGAAAAAGTAAGGGTATGTTGGGTATTTACAGTGTGAACATAGATATTTTTTATCCTAAAAAGGAAATGATGCAATAATAAGTAAACTTCCTAAAGTAGTAAGTGATGCGATAAAAAAAGAACGGAGGAAGTATATAATTTACAAATATTGATTAAAGTGGGTCAAATGAATAGAGCAAAAAATTCCAATAGGACACTTTAAAAAAATGGAGGGAGTAGTTGTGCATGTAACTGTTGTCAACAAGCTAACTGACGTAACTGTTGTTAGTTGTGCACACTTATTTGATTGTTTTTTGTTATTTATACATATGTCGGGAAAAAAAAAACATATATGTGGGATCTTATTATATTCGTCTGAAAAATATTTTTTAAAGTACCTCCTTTTTATAAGTTAACCTTTAAGATATTAGTTTTATAATATATGTATTTTTTTTAATCAACCAGTTATAACATGTGCGTTAACAAATGTAAAATTTTCAACATTACAATTAAAAAATGGTGAAAATATGAAAAACACTCGTACTTTAATAAGTGGGAAAGTATGAAAGTCTACCGAGTAGTATATAATATAGTACTCTTACTTAGTAATACCCCCAACTCCTCAAGAGTATATAACGTTGTTTATTTGGATATATTAAACGTGTTACAAAAGTAATGTTTTAATTATAGATTCTTGTACATGACTACATTCTGTTTAGTCAATGTACATCTCAGCTCGTAGTTATGGTGACTCCCACGTTTAATTCCAGTCAAAGATTTTTGCTGATTATTAGCCTATTTTATAGCCTAATTTGTAGGCACCACATCGTGATATTGCTTACACGCACATTGTGCAATTGCAGTTATAACATAAAAAACCTCACGAAAAAAAAAAAACAGTTGTGCAATTGCAAAAGCGAAAAAAAATAAAAAAATAAAAACAGTTCACACGACTTATTAAAGATGTTAATTTTCTGGGTTTTTAGCAACAGATAATATAACAAACAAACAGAGAGGAACCACTAAAAAAGCTGCAATCTTCAGCAAATCCTCCGTTTCTGTAGAAATCACTCCAATTCTTGACCAATCTCCACTATATCTGACCAAATAATTCAATGTTACATAAGTATTACAATAAACACTAATTAAGATACAATACATAGTTAATAATAGTATGTAAATAATACTACTACATACTACACAGGGAAGGAAGAATTATTACCCTGCATCAACAAATCCTAATCCCAGAATTCCAATGGCAGATTGAGTCAATAATTTGCTAGAGATCTTGAATTTGAAATTGGGGTTCTGCTCGTTTTCTGGAAAATCTGGCTTTTTTGCAAATGTTATGGGAAATCTCTTTCCTTTTTTTCTGAGGGAGTGGTGGGAAATATGGGTGCACAAGAAGCTATTTCCTGAAAGCAGCATTTCCTTATCTTGTGCTACCTAATTGGCTAATCTGAAATCTGGAAAATCTGACTTATTGGTTTTAACTTTTAAGTATTTTTACTAGGTGTCTTGGTTGGCCTTAGTTGTGCCACACGCCACATGATTCGCATTTGTACACATATTGTTCAATTTCCGTTTTACATCTCTCACAAAGTTTTTCAACTCTATTTCCTACCTCATATACAGACGATACAGTAATAAAAAATGACAAATTTTTCATCGCAACTCATTTTCATAATTATTGATTTGCTTGTTCCTTTGTACTTTTCCACTCGAAAAATTAACTATGTAAAGTTATATGAGTAGAGAAAATAGTGTTATATGGGTTTGTAGACGTAAATTAAGACAATAAGTATTCTATCAATTTAATTCAAGTCGGATCAATTTTCTTATAAGCTATACTTAAGTGACAAAGTGACATGTCCCTTTTTCATAAAAAAAATAAAAAAAATCCATTGTAAACTTCCAACCACAAGTTAAATATTGAAATGACCAACAAACCCCCAACTCCAAACCACAACTTCCTCACTTCACTCAGCGCCAAAATCACCCAATTAACGGTCCCTAACCACCTCTCTCACTCCCTCTGTACTTGAACACTGAAAAAAAAAATCTACTGCAAATTCACAAAAAAAATCAAGTATCAAACTCCATGATTTCCTACATCTTCAATCCAATCTCTCTCTCCTTTACTACAAACCCTAATCCCCAATTTCCCGCCAAACCCTACATTTTCTCGCTTCGAAACGTTTCATCAGAAGCCTCAATTTATACTTTTAATAATCATGAGATTAATCCGAACCCTAGATTTTGGAGCAAACAGGGGAGAGTGATTGTGAATGCTTACGCCGTCAATGGCGGATTTGAAAGAGCGGGGAACAGAGATGTTGGTGAACAACAGCAGCTGGTGGAGGAGAGAGAAAATTGGGATCGGAAGGTGAATTGTGAGGTTGAAGTGATTTCATGGAGAGAGCGTCGGATTAAGGCGGAGATTACTGTCAATTCCGATGTCGAATCGGTTTGGAATGCTCTTACTGATTATGAACGCCTCGCTGATTTCGTACCTAATCTTGTTTGTAGGTAATCTTTCATTTTTCATTTTTTATTTTTATGCTATAGTTTTTGTTACTTGTAAAAATTTGATGGAATCATTACTCTTTAGGTAGTTTTTCGTATGTTTGCGATAGCCTTTAAGGTGAATTTAGGGAATTATGGAACGGAGGGAGTATTATAGAAGCAATTCCGATTTTGGGATTAAATTATAACCAATTATATAACACTTATTGAGTTGTTGGTAAGAATACAAAAGAAGTTGTTTTTGGAGCAACAATATGCTAATGATTCTAGTTTGTCCAAAAAAATCATGTAACATTAATTTTTGCTTGAGTTATCTTAATTGTTAGTATCTTGGTAAGGTTGATTCTTGCTAGAGTTCTCTTATTTAGTAGATATGTTACTTGAGAATAATTAGGTGTCTAATTAAAATGAGATAGAGGGAGTAGTGACTAGTGAGTGTTGTATAGAAGTAGAAAATTGATCTAAACAGACTCATAGAAGGTATGGTGGCGAAAATAATAGATATTGCTAAGATGAATGGTTAAAACTAAAGAAGTAATATTTTATTGTTAAATGTTAGAAGTTAACTAATGTTTGACAGTTTCATTGGTTTTTGCGACGTATCAAGGATCATAGCTCATAAATATCAACTTGGTTGTGAACTAACCCTGTAATTTGGGTTGTAGGCTTGTAGCGGAGTCCCAAGATCACGACTCAATGGTGCATTATTCCCAAAATATTAATTCTTATTATCCCTATGAAATGTACTACTGTAGTAATAAGGGAGCTATAAGAGGTATTATAACAAGGTTTACAGGCATTACTGCTTGATTGGAAGAAAGTAACATGATGTTCATGATAAGTTTGTTCCTCTTGTTCACCCCAGTGTCTTTACTAGTTTACTGTAATTAGTGGTGAAAGTATTTTTGTCTCTTATGAAACATTTTTTTACATTCCAACCTGCTTAATTCTGATGCTTTTGTTTAATGGTTATGCTATGGCCTACTATTGCCATTTTCCAGTGGAAGAATTCCTTGTCCGTATCCTGGTAGACTGTGGTTAGAGCAAAGAGGCTTCCAAAGGGCATTGTATTGGCATATTGAAGCTCGTGTTGTCTTGGATCTCAAAGAATTTCCTAATTCAGTGAGTTCTTAAACTTTTAATTGTACCCTCTGTAGCTATCAATGACTAATTCAAGATGTACATGGAGGGAGGGATGGGGTATGTAAATTTGGCTTTACATTTCTTTTTAGGCTCCAATAGTGAGTTTATAGTAGAAAAATAATATGAGCATTTATAAAGGTATGTTAGATCTATAATCTACTGTCAATAGCTCAAAGCCTCAAAATTTACAGAACTTTCTTTCTGTGCTTGCTTACCAATTTCTCTTGTACCCAATTGTAGTGGCTTCACATCTATATAGATATTTTGCATGGAAACTTGTTTATGACCTATTGAACATTATGGATGTAAACCATTTTTTAACATCAAAAAGTAATTATCGATTCTGATGCAGCCAAGAGACCGTGAACTCCATTTCTCCATGGTGGATGGAGACTTCAAGAAGTTTGAAGGAAAATGGTCGGTAAAATCAAAGAGAAGGTATGATAACTGTTCCCATTTTCCCTATGAGTTTTCAGGGTTCACTCTTAATTAAATTTGTAGCTGGTCTAAGTGTATTAGGATAATAGTTGTAGAGTAGAGAGGCAACAATAATATCATCTTTAACTGGAGCTTTACACATTGAGGACAATGATGAAGAAATGAGTAATCAAGTCAAAACTATAATGATTATCATCACATGTGTATGATACATTGATGGTTAGGTCTGCTATTCTCTATGATTATAGAAGCAGGATTAAAAAGAAGGAAAAAAAGGGCCATTTCATCTGTCGAAAATCCTGAAGTAAGAGCTAAATGTGTGGACCTCTTAATCTGTTATGAAGTCTGATTAGACTATGGAAATATTTTCTGTGAGGGTGCCATTGACTGAATATTTGTTCTGTCTGTTCACATCTAGATATAGCTTGCAAACTTGTAAAAAGTTATATCAGTGATTTGTGCAACTGGAATTGTGAGAACCTTTAGAAATATTATCCTTATACGATTTGTTATGTCTGAATTCCATTGAAAGTAGCTTTTCTGAAAGAGACAGCTTTTGTTGTTTAAGAAAACCTGCAAATTTCTATATTTATAGTTATTTTGACATGCTTCTGTATTGCATAATCTCAGATCCTCGTCTAAGACAACACTATCTTATGAGGTCAATGTCATACCAAAGTTTAACTTTCCAGCAATTTTTTTGGAGAGGATCATTCAATCAGACCTGCCTGTGAATCTTCGAGCCTTGGCTTGCAGAGCTGAGAGTATTGTTGTAGGAAATCAGAAGATGCCTAAACTAGTTAGCACAAAAGGCGGAAATTCTGTTAATACTAGTAGCACTAGCTTGCCAAGTACTTTAAAAGAGAAAGATATGTCTACTGAGGAGCTAAAGAAGATTTCCTCCAGATCTATCCTTGGGCCCTTGCCCCAGGCACCTTCTGAGTTGAATAGTACTTGGGGCATATATGGTAAAGTTTGTAGGCTTGACAAGCCCTGCTTAGTGGATGAGATTCATCTTCGTCGATTTGATGGCCTATTGGTAATTAATTGACTTTAACTATTTTCAACTGATTTTCCTGATGAAGAGGATCTCATTGTTGCTACGGCTATCTGACAACAACTTATGTACTGAAGGAAAATGGCGGTGTTCATCGCTGTGTTGTTGCTAGCATTACAGTGAAAGCTCCTGTTCGTGAAGTCTGGGATGTTTTAACTACTTATGAAAGTCTTCCAGAGTGAGTAAAGCCAATTTGTTGCATGAATCAGAATGTTGTCCAGTTCTTTTCTTCAGTTCAGTTGTGCTTGACAGTTTTGTTTAGCAAATTTTACTACGTAATTAATTTTGCCTGAATTTTGTTTTAACTTTATCTTGGGATGGAGAGCGTTCATCCCGGATAAACTGATCAAAATTCTTGCCTTGGATGAATTTATTTTATATATACATTCGTATGACTTGAATTAATCATCCTTCTGAAATAATTCTGTGCTAGCCCATTCCAAAACTTCTTCAGTTTTAAAACTCTTCTGGTTACCATCTAAACAAAAGTAATCTGTTTAGTTGAATGATGTTTCCATGAAGATCAACCCAAGGCAACCTGAAAGAAATGTTACTTGGCTAAGATTAAAAAAAAAAAAAAAAAAAACCTTGACCTGTGGTTTTTGCTTCTTTACATTAGGTTTTTTATGTCTTAGTTAACTAAGCTATATGTTTCTGCAGGATAGTTCCAAATTTGGCAATCAGCAAAGTTTTATTTCGAGATAACAACAAAGTTCGCATCCTTCAGGTAAAAACAGGATATGTTTTTAATTCTAGTTTGTATTAACATAATAGGCAATCTTCTTATATCCATTGCATCATTGTCTTTGCTTTTGTACCCACTGACTTTATGATCTTTGAAATTATAAACCTAAGAATTCTATGCTTTTCTCCTCAATAGCTTTTACCTGGTTTAAAGCTTATTCTATTTTCACTAAAGTGAGTGAAGTTCTTCTACGCTTTTTTTCACAGGAAGGATGCAAGGGTCTCTTATATATGGTACTCCATGCACGGGTTGTCATGGACTTGTGTGAACAGCTTGAGCAAGAAATTAGCTTTGAGCAGGTTGAGGGGGATTTCGACTCTTTTCATGGCAGGTGGCAGCTTGAGCAGCTCGGAAACCATCATACATTGCTAAAATACTCCGTGGAGTCAAAAATGCGCCAAGATACTTTTCTATCAGAATCAATAATGGAAGAGGTATGCTAAAACTTCAACTTTAGTAATTAATCACCTTCTTGCATTGCATTACCATGATTGTGAATTATCCAAGGGTTAGGATTCAGGAAGTTGTTAAACTCGGGTTGTTATCTGATCACAATCTGGTTGCCTCTTGTGTTAACAATTCGGCATAGAGTATTTTTAATGCTTACACTTGGATGGTGCTGCTATGTTGGCTTGGAAGAGATGCTAAACATTTAATTATGAATATATAGGTTATATATGAGGATCTTCCGTCCAATTTATGTGCAATTCGAGACTACATTGAGAAGAGGATGGGAACAAGTTCTGATGAACATGATGAGCTACACATGGAGCAGCAGAAGGATGAAACTTGCAAAGAGCAGCCTAGCTTATCATCTAATGAAGGCAAAACTGATCAAAGGAATGTGAAAATTCAATTGAGCAGTAGCAGTTCAACTTCCATAAAGCAAAGGCCTAGAGTCCCTGGCTTGCAACAGGACATTGAAGTTCTAAAGTCTGAGCTCCTGAAATTTGTTTCTGAGCATGGGCAGGATGGATTCATGCCCATGAGGAAGCAACTCCGCTCTTATGGTAGGGTTGACATTGAAAAGGCAATCAACCGGATGGGTGGTTTTAGGAGGATTGCAACATTGATGAACCTGTCTCTAGCTTATAAACATCGAAAACCTAAAGGTTATTGGGACAATCTTGAAAATTTGCAGGTGGAGGTAAGTTCTAGCATTCTGCTCGTTTTGCCTGATCAATTTCAGCAAGATAATGGAACATTATGTAATTTTTTAGAATCTTGAAAGTATCTACTCTTTGTCAATTTCAGATTCATCGATTTCAAAAGAACTGGGGGATGGATCCATCATATATGCCCAGCAGAAAAGCATTTGAACGCGCAGGTTTAATTATTACTGCTTAATTACTTCCTAACCTGTATATAATTTGGACAGCTTTGTTTCCAGAAGAAGAAAAAAAAAATCACTTATTGCCTTTTTTTGTAGGCTTTTGATTTTAGTTTCCTGTAAGATATAAAACTCAACTGAGAAGATTTTTTTTTTTTTTTTTTTTTTTTGCAGGACGGTATGACATTGCCCGTGCCCTTGAAAAATGGGGCGGCCTACATGAAGTATCCCGTCTTCTATCACTCAAATTAAGGCACCCCAACAGGCAGACAAGTCTTTCCAGTGACAAGAAAAATGATAATAGTTCATCTGATAGTGATAAATCTGAAGAAAGTACAGAATATAAACCTTATGTATCTTTAGATGCACAGGAATGGCTTACAAAACTAAACGATATAGACATAACTTGGGTTGAATGAATATAACACCGCTTATATTTCTGGTATCATGGAAGAGCCCAGAGTCTTAAGTCTAAGCCTAACCAAAACAAAAGTTGAAAACATAAACAAAGTTGAGCCTTATTTGCAAGACCAATAGAAATTAAAATTTGATAAATTATTTGATCATATATCATTGCTGAAAATGTTAGATTCGTCACAAGAAGAAGGCTGCAGAGCGCGAATCCTGATATCATAAGTCCCGGCTGCATCTGAATCCCCATTCCATCCCCATGAACCTGTGGAATCAGGGGATATATCTTTCTGCTTCGAAGAATGGGAGCAGCCAAATTGCTTAAATTACGAGCATTTCCAACTTAGTTGCCACATTTCCGGCATAATAGTTTAGTTTTTCGCTGAAATATCCCCCATGAACGAGCTGATTCGAAATAAGGCTTGCACCTAAGCTGTTGAATTCGACTAAACCTTGTCTCGTCTATAGACAAGAAAGAAATGATGCCCTTTTTTATGGCTTTGCCGTAGTTCTTTGAACCTATCACAGAGGTATTCCGATTGCATGAATTAAGGTTGAGATCATACCCACAAGAGCCACAGCTGTAGGAAAGAAAAAACAGTCCAGTAAAATGAAAATAATGAATGAATGTCAGAGAAATAACAAGAAAGAAGCTAGAGAAGGGGGAGGAGAGAACCTGTAATCGACGTCGTGAAGCGAAGAGGAGGAGAGGGAATGGACAGGGTAGCCATCAAAGTGATGCGGATCAACCAACATTATTATTTTGTCTTGTGTTTGAATGTTGGTTGAGGAAAAAAAAAAACCAAATTTTTGCAATTTTAGAATGTTGAATAATGACAGACTGCCGCCATCAAGTTACCATTAGCCTCCACTTATTTGTGTTCAAAAACAAGAAAAGAAAATAGCTAAAGTTGCCATGTCGACAGAGGGGACCAAATGACGCTTCTACCCCTAGTCAAAGGATATAAAAATTGATTAATAAAAATATGCCTTTTCCATTTTACTTTTGTTGACATGATTCCCTAGTCACCTAATGTGTTTACAACAACCATATATTTTTTTAATTAGTAAAATTTATTAAAAATTAAGTTGAAATTATAAGTGAGGTGATTTAGGCAACTTTAACATGATTTTACATGGACATATTTTTCTTAAATTAAAGAAATGGTAGAATCGAAGTGTTGATATATTATTCTGTATAGAAAAGAAGTATACATTATTGTTGCTAAAAAAAAAAAAAGGGTTATACAATATGTGACATCATTTGGTCAAATCAAGATGTCCTAATTTTACCACTTACGAGGCATACAAATATATAATGAATACATCTTATTTTAAACGGAGGAAGAAATTATAAAATATTACATTAAGTAGAAAATATACTAGGCAATTCATCTTAAATTTTGATATGAAAGAGATTTTCATGTTCTGATCAAAAGAGGAACATGAAGCGACTTTGAAGCATCAATGTTACATTGTTAACATATATATACATAATTGATACAAATACAATGAGACATTTTCATTTCTTCAAAATCATCTTAGCTGCAGCAAAACTTTTTGTCCTATAATTTCCGAGCCTGACCTTTCCTTTGTTGGGCATCTTCACTCCGCCTCTTCCCCCATGAATTTTCGGCCACCAAAGCAGTTTTTTCCCCTTCTTTTTACCACCATGACGGCCACTTTCAAGCCCCTTGAAACCATTCTTCACTTGTTTAGGTTTCTTAGAATGCTTCATGTGCTTCATTAGCCCACTTACAAGTGCATGAAAATGTCCTGGTTGTTTTCTCTTCGCCAAAGTCTTGACATCAGATTAACTTGGCTTCTCTGACTTTAGTTTCTGACGATGATTGGCATTTTTTGTGTGATGAAACATCTCTCCAAGTCGTTTCCAAAATGATCTAGCATGACGTGCATCAGGCTCATCCCTATAATGATATGGTGATGGTGGTGAAATATCATCCCTAGCTTCCTTCCAAGTCTCCTCAATCTCCCTCTCCTTTTTACTCGTTCCTTTTGTGGGTCCCACTTATGTAGCCGTGCTGAGCTCACTTGGCTTGAGGATTTTGCATCAGAGTAGTCATCTCTACTGTTAGAATAGGAAGAAGTATCATCATATCCTGAAGTGGTACTATCAGTATATTCAGGCTGTTTCATCCTTGTTGAGTGGCCTACTTTCTCATACAGTGGCTCACTTTCATCACTATCATAACTAACACTTCCAGATGATTCATAACTCCCACTCAAAGAAGATGGCGAGCCACTTTGCTGAGTTGTTGAACCAGAAGAAGCGCATGAATTCCAACTCGTTTCCTCTGAGATTTGATCATGAGGTACAACCTTGGTGAGCAAAGGCCCCTTAATATTATTCCTAATTAGACAACTATTTCTGTTTGAAGAATCCCTAGACCTTGTCATCTTAGATGTTTGGCCCAATTCTTGTGCAATTCTTCGACTTGTATGACCCTGACTCCATTTCTGATGAGGAGGACGCGTATTACTTGTTCTGTTATGTCTCATGGAATTTGTAGACCCCGCAGATGGAACTTGTGTGCAGGGCCTCAATGCTGCTTCTCTTTCAATAGCCTCTCCACGATATGACTAATGTGGCATGAGCCTCAAACCTTGTACATGTTTTGAGGCATGACTTGAAAAAGATCCATTCCTACTCAATTTACCTTTAAGTGACTCTGATCTACCAAAGTCGGCCTTAAACATAGGCCCAGGAACCATTTGACCAAAGGAGGAGCTGGAGAGTTGCCTTTTCTAAGCATTGGTTAAAAAGCATATTTTCACCAAATGCAGCCGACTTGTCAGTGAGGCGTAGCTCATTTATTGCTACCAAGTCCTTTTCCTTGCCTAAAGGATTTGCTGAACTTGATATATTGGGCAAACCCATTTATTTGTGGCTCACTATGGAAACTGCTTGGTTTTGATGGAGGGGGAAAATTAATTTGGGGACTTCACTTTTGACTTAACTTTGTAGTCAACTCCTTGTCCTGCAGCAAACTAGAGCTATGCTGTAATGTTTGTTTGGAGGGCAGAACACCAACTATTAGGGGTGAGCATGGATCAGATATCCGATCCGAAATTGGATTTCGGATCGGATATCCGTATCTGAAAAATTGGTTATTTGATATCCGTATTCGATCCGAAATTTTTCGGATATCTGATATCCGGATATTCGAAAATTTCGGATTGGATAGTTTTGATATCCAATACGTTTTTATTTTTTTTATTTTTTTTTTTGAAACACCAACCCTATAAGTTTTAATAATTTGGTAAATACTAATGTAATGACAAAAATAATTTATTTTTAAAGGCAAATATGTAATGATATCCAAATGCAATTTCACATAACACAATATTTTCCATTTGAGAACTGGTAATTCAATTCTAAAAGTACATCAAAACACAACATCTTTTAATAAAATACATTCAACTTGCTCTAGAACCTTCAAATTCTAAATAATATAAAAACATCAAAATCTAATTCACCAAATTACAATCAACCAAATGACGCTCCACCTTCGCGAACTCGCAATGGTTCTAATTGTAACGGTGTTCAATTAGTGGAACTCCCGAAGGTTAAGAACCATTGTTGACGACGGTGAGCAGCTGATGGAGTGAAAACATATCGACGCGATGAGGTGCTGAGCCGGGCGTGAAGGCTGAGTGAGAGCCTGAGATCTGAGAGATTGAGAGTGAGGTGAGGAGAGGAGAGAAAGTTAGGGCTGAATACTTGAATGGTTGTCTTGGTTGAGGAGATCTGAGAAAATTGAGATTTAATTGCTTGAGAATTTGAGATGAGGAAAGGAGAGAGAATCTGAGAAAGCTATAGAGAGAAAAAGAGGAGAAGAGAAAGAGAGGGGGGTGGGGGCGAGGGGACTCAGTTGTTAGGGTTTGGTAGTTTTTATATGATATAAAAAATAATATGGAGTACTGAAATATCGGAGTAATGAGTGATTTCTTCAGATTTCGGATCGGATATCCGATCCGATATCCGGTATCTGAATTTTTTATCAGATATCAAATATCCGAAATCTAATATTTAGACATCCGATATCCGACTTTTTCGGATCGGATATCTATAATTTTCGGATCGGATGCGGATCGGATTTTCGGGTAGTTTTGCTCAGCCCTACAACTGTACTGGATTTGGAAACCATTTTCTATAATTTTCCAAAAGATAAAAACAAAAACAAATAGATTCAGATTCAAAGTCTGTCTAATAAAATTATGCAGATATATTAATAGATTATGATCCAAAGAACACCAGCTAATTCTCGCATGTATGAACATCATAAACTACCTTGCCAAATTAGAATAAACAAACTGATGGTTTTACAAGTTCAGCAAATAATTTCAATGAATTAAACACTGAAAGCCAAAGGAAAGACAACACACATCTGCATATGCTTCAAAAGCTCGTTCAGCAGCAGCATCAAGCATGCTTAGAAAGTGTTGCGTATCCTCATCCGACTGCGGATAATAAATCCAGAGAATATATTAGGTCAGGACAAATGAAGTGCCATTTGAAACAAAAAGTATGACCTATAGTCATGTTTACCCAATACAAAATTCAAAACCCAACAGTTGGTTCAAGTCTGAAACACAAGGGAAGAGACTTAAACACTTTATGTTTGTGAAATTGTGATCAAGCACAAACTACATCAGTTAGCACTTTCTAATTAGAATGTTGTAGGTTCGTTCTTAATCAAATCAAGTTAACGAGCATGGCTGACAACAACACTATCAGTAAGTCCACTAATATTTCTTTTATATATATCGTAAGCAAACATGAAGATTAAAGAATACTGTCCTATAAAATTCAAGACTGAACAACAATAGGTCACAGCAATTTCCATTCACATATGAATAACAAGACTAAACAACAATCATTATCAATCAAAGCCTTAATCCCATAAGTGGGGTTGGTTACATGAACCAAAAATGATTATTCCGTGTAGCCATCCAAAGACATGAGCCAAAAGACTAAACAACATTAATCTTAGTAAATTACTAACAGCATTGTGGCAAATGGAATTGATATCCATCCAAACTTAAGGACATCAAGGCCATCCATCACTACTAAGAACTAACAATGAACCCAAAGTGCACATCACCCTAAATAATGTCGGATGAAATCATATCGGTCCGTTAGGTAGATGGTTATAAATGGTGCCGAATGCCATTTTTCCAACTTTTACTCATAACTCTACAAATGCTTAATCCTCAAATTCTACAAATTCCATCCTATATAATTACCGAATAATTTCCAAATTAACTACTACCATTTTCAATAAAAACAACCATGCATAAGTTGTGCATTAACACGGGTACATTCTAATAAATCAAATTAAAAGGTAGATTATACATATTAAAACCATTACTAACCAAAGTTAATCATCTTATATATATGACGCTGAAACAAACATATCTAGTCCTGGTAATATATGGTGATAATGAATTTGAACTCAATAAATTTGCAAATACTAAATAGACAAAAAAAACAAAATTGAAAAAAAAAAGTAGTATAAAAGTTTTACCATGAAAAACAGAGAAGTTGAGAATTGAGTGATCGGAAAAGGGCGTTGCCGATGGGGTCGGCTTTGGTGTGAAGAAGTAACGGTTGGGAAGAAAGATAAAAACAGTGCTTTCTTTTTTTTTTTTTGACAGATTTTTTTTACAGTATTCTACTTGTGTTTTTTTAATCTATGTTCTCAAGATTATTTTTTATTCTCCGTCAAAAAAAAAAAAACAAAAATTTACTCAAATTTTTTTTCTTTTGGGAGAAGATGAATATGACAGGAACAGAAAATGAAATGGAGCAGTTAGGAAAAAAAAAGTTACAATATCGTCATAAATCTTATTGTGTCGTATATGACCAACAACAATTACCATAATGGATTTTCTAATTTTGATTTAAAATTTTGCTATGAGTACTAATTAACCAACTACTCCGTATAAAGTACTTGTAGTGTTATTTTCTCTCTTTTATTAGCATTAATAAGTACCTCTGTAATAACAAAAGATAATTTATTCACCTTTTTTGAGAAAAAGTAAGCCGAAAAATATATTAAATCAAGCTCCGTCAAAGTTAATAAGCTTTTGGGGAAAGAGTTTATACAAACACGTTTCGGATTATCGTTAGTATCCCACTTTGCAATTAAGTAGGCAACGCTTTTACCGGCTCTTTTCACGTGAGCAGTTCCCGTTAGTGTCCCACCTTGCAATTAAGTGGACAACGGTATTACCGGTTTTTTCACGTGAGAAATAGTTTAAACAATTTACTTCACTTGTTCTTAGAGATTCTTATACATGCGGGTTGCAAAGTACAACAATTTTTTTGGGGGGTTGTTAAATATCTCCCTTGAATATCTAACTAACGCCCGCAAAATAACATAAAATTACGTACTTATCCTTATAATAACGATTATTAAAATAATTAATTTTACCTCAATTTCACACTTTTACCGTACACAAAAATTTTAACCGTTCTCTCCTGTGGTCAACGGCCACCAACGATCATCGGACCAACCACCGTGATTTTCAAAATCAAACAAATTTTATAAATTTTGCAAAATCAAATTTATTGGATCTTATGGACGACGACGAAATACTGGAAACATAACCTATGTTGCTCGCCGAAGGCTCGTTGGACCATATGAACTCGGTGTGTACTGATAAAAAATTTTAAAATTCGAAACCCAGGAAAACGCCTAGGATTTTCGAAAACCCTAGGCTGAAACGCCTAGTTTTTTCGAACATCCTAGGAAGTTTCGAAAAAACTAGGCGTTTCAGCCTAGGGTTTTCAAAAATCCTAGGCGTTTGCCTGGGTTTCGATTTTTTTTTATTGTTGTGGTTGTTTGAATTTTCTAAGCGTTTCATCTCAACCGCCCAAATCTTTTGTACAACCATACGATTATTCGAATGAACTAGGTGTTTGAGCCTAGGTTGTTCGAAAAAACAGGGCGTTTGAATCCGATTTCAGAAAATAAATTAAAAAAATAAATCTTGTCTTCGCCGACCGCCTTCCCCTTGCCCTTCCTCGTCATATCTGCGATTGTGTAGATCGAGAAACCGAAGATTAAAAGAGGTGGTGGTTGGTGGTTAAAAGAGGAGGAGGTGGTGGTGGTAGTAGTGGGTGGTAAAAGGAGGTGGTGGTGGTGGTTTAGAGAGAGAAGAGGTAGTGAGGGTGGGTAAATTATGTTTGAGGGGGGTAATTTTTTTTAGATACAAGGGTAAATTTGTAAAATATATTTTATTTGCAGGCGTTAGTTAGATATTCGAGGGCGACGTTTAGCTTTCCACTTTTTTTTTATTTATTTATTTATTTATTTTTGTTACGAGTACTTAATAATTGTCGCACCATCGGAAAAAAAAGTGCTTCCCATTATTATTGTTCAATTTGGGTAACATTTCCTTATTATTGAATAAAATCAATAGAATACAATACAATGAATAATAATCCATAGCCTCAGAAAAATAAGGAAATATTCCTCCTAAAAAGGTAAAAAATCATCATTACCAAAACCAATATTATATCAACATATCACAATAATCAAGGGAGAGATTCCCAAGCCATATGTCAATCCATATTGGGTGCGTTACTTCCCTCCCATGACCTAAGAAAATTAACAAGGAGCATATACTTTCTTCCCCTTATTATTTTCATTATCTCATTCTTTAAATATTGCAACCTTACATTTTCGAGTTTTGACCTTTTGACACTATTTGAGTATATAATTATATTTCTCCAAATATTTGTAAAATTCGTTTCAATATTACTTTTATTTGTAATATTTATCATATCATGATTGAGGTATACATTGCGCTTTAAAAAAAGCATAATCCCTTTTGTTGCATAATCCCTTTTGTTGCAATCTTAGGAATACGGAGAAAACATTTATTATTACTATTAATTTGTTACCTGTATTATTTACAGTAATTAAATAAACCACCAAACTCCTCACAAATAACACATTTTCAAGCAAAAACATCAGTCATTCAGTCCTCCTTCTCCCCTGCTCATTATTTCTCTCTCCTCTTTTTCTCTCTCCAAAATCAACAATGGTGAAGAGGAAGAGGAACAATAACATCAGCAAGCCGAAAAAGGAGATAGTTGAAGAACCAATTAAAGGAGGAGAAGTTGAGTCTGAAGATTACTGCTTTGTTTGCAAAGATGGTGGTCTTTTGATGGTTTGTGATTACAAGTATGAATCTTTTCCACTATTTTTTGTTAATTTTGTTTATTGATCATTGATTATTCATCCAATGTAGCATCTTTTTGGGGTTTTCTGGGGTTTTTATTTAAAAAATTTCCCCTTGATTTTTACTTGTTATACTGCTACGGAGTATAAAGTTTGTGGAATAATGTAGCATCTTTTTTTTTTTTTATGAATTTTGGTTTCTGGGTGTTGTTAAAAATCTTCAAATTGCTTGTTTTTCTTTTTCTTTTTTTTTTTATTATTTTTTTTTTTTTTGCTGGGTATATGTTTTTTTGGTTATGTAATTTTTTGTTAAATTGGGGTTCAATAATTTTGTGCCTTTGTCATGCCTTTTTGATTAATAGCGAAATTGTTTTGACCTTTTCACTGTGATTTTATGAGTAGGTGAGCAATTGAATCAGGCTTCCCCCACCAAAAAAAAAAAAACTAAATAATTAAATAAATTTTAAATTTTTTTTTTGCTTGGTGCGGAAAAGCGAAATAAAGGAGAGAAAGCAGGGAAAGATAGTCCGTTTTCCCTGAAATTAATTACGTAGTATTCAGTTTATACTTTATATAGGGCCGCAAAGGACATTGATGTAGACACGTGTTTGGTTAGTCTATTTTTCATCAAATTATTATTCAATTTATATTTTAAATGGAGTCACAAGAGACATTGATGTAGATTTGATTTGGTATTGTATTACCCGCAATCTATTATTCCTGAATTTAATTAATCGGTGTATATAGAGCCGCAAAGGTACTGATGTAGACGGGTTTGAGAAAGATTGTCTTGTTATAAAATCCAAGTTCCTTGACTTGAAGAGTCAATGAGACTCTGCCACTCTGTGGCTTTGTTGACCCACATCCAAATAAAAACAATGTTAAAAACAAGAAGAAAAAAAAATGGGGAAGATGAATGATCAAAGCATTAGATGAGGAAACTGGGGTTGGTTGCACGTGCACTGCAGGTGGTATTAGTTTATACACTTTTTTTTTTTTTTTCAACATAGTATAAATTATAAACTAACCCCTATATATAAAGCTCCAGAATACTTAAAGAAATTAATATAAATAGGCAAAAACTTTGGTATAAATTTATAAGAAATATTTGTATAAGATCCCTTTGTTTTCTGGGCTTAAATGCAGCTTTTGCAATAGCAGAAAGGGCTTAACAAAGCCACTAAATTTCACCTAAATTTATTCTATCTGCAAATATTTAATACCACCTGCAATGTATGTGCTCCAATCCCTTACATAATGTCACCTTTTTATTTTTTTTATTTTTTTTATTGGAAGCATAAAGTGGACATTAGTTAAGGGACAACCATTTTTTTAAAGAATGTGGACTATAATAAGGGACGGAAGAAGTAGTATTTTGAACATAAGTTGGTGACAGTTGGAATAAGGGATCCTGCAAAGTAATTCAATCTTGTTATAATTTTCTGTTTTGATTTGAAAAGGAGAAATTGTTGCTGTACTGAACTTTCAGCTCTTTGAAATTCACGATTATTTGTCTTTCAAGATGATAATGACAAATAACAATGACCTTGTTTGCTGTTAATAGTCTCAAAAATGCGTATTGTATCGTTTGACTTATCAGACAATTGGACCGTGAGTGTGGCCTTGTTTTGATCCTTTCACTCTCGTGTCTGCTAAGTTCCTTATCTTCGTGATTGATTTGGTTTTGCAGGGGTTGTGTGAAATCTTATCACGCTGAATGTGTGGGAAAGGAAGAATCAACTGAAGATACTGATGATCCATGGATTTGTGGTAAATCTGTTTACGAATCTTCACAAAGTGTCGTGCCATTAGTCATGCTATCTTAGGGTCCAATTTGGTCTCCTTAAATGTCAGCTTTATATATATGTTTTTGAGCTCATTTTTATTGTTAGTTATTGATGATTGTCGGTGTTGCATGCCAGTCTTAGATGACCACTTACAATTTTCAGAAAGTGTAAGAAAGATCATATCACTTCTCTTTAGATGTGTTATACTAGCCAATGTTCTTCACTTTTTTTTTTTTTTTTTAAAAAAAAATAATAATATTTGTATCATGGTTAATATGGATAAGTATAACAATAGCAAATAATGTGCAGAGTAGCATTGGAAGTTAAACAGAATTTGTCACGTCTAGTAAGTGGATATTATTTAGGGACATCCCGAATTGGAGTATTGGACGTTTTACAGGACGGAGGGAATTAGTATGCCAATTAGCAGCAAATGCACTAGTTCGTATTTTTAAATAATATAGTAATGCTTCGATTTATTTGTTATTTTTCTACATTTGGCACTTTTTTGGCCTTCCATAAGATCAAGTTGGAGATTTTTCTCGTTAAAGTTTGATAATTGATATGCCAAGGTGCTCCTGAAATTCCTTAAATTTATTTTATTTATTTTTAATTTTTTGTATAGGAAAGATAAATGTATCTAGCTATTAAATGTGTTATCTTAGACCTAAAGGTTGAGGCATGTTCTGCATTTCCATCTATGATATCCTGTGCGGCTTGCTCGTCTCAATTATAGGGTGTTCTTGGCTTTTTGCATTGTCAAAAAGCTCAACCAAGTAAACTTGACAAATGATGAGTGCTTCTTTTCAGGATGGCATAATTGCCTTGTTTGCAAAAGAAATTCGAAGTACCAGTGTTTCTGCTGTCCAAATGCTGTTTGCCAAAGCTGCTTCAAGGATGCTGCATTTGCAAAAACTGTAGGCGGTAAAGGGTTCTGCAATGACTGCCTCAAACTTGCATTACTCGGAGAAGAAGGCGTGGATGTTGACTCAGATGGGGTATGGGGTAGTTTCTAAATCAGTGCTGTTTGAAATGTATAGTTTGATATATACCTTGTTAAATCTCTAATACTTGCAGGTTCTTATCTACTTGATACATCTCGTCATTAAGTAGCTACTCTGCATATTATACTGATTTATTGGACCTATATGCTGGGGTGAAAATGGGGATGCCCTGTATTCTTTTACCCACCAGGTGCCTATCCTGGCAACCTGGTGTACGCCGTTTAATGTGGACAAATGTATACTTTGAAAACAGTAGATTGTCCATGGCATAAGCATCTTGTTCCCTCTTTGCTATGTATATCAATAGACTAAGCTGATGCGACTATTTATTATTGCCATATTATAAGATTACTGAGTTATTGCGGTCTAGTAAAATCTGAGGTAGTCAGGTCTTTTAAAAAAAAATTCTTGTTGCTTTGATATGCTGTGTTTCTTCCTGATGTTGTGCAATGCCGTGTACATTCTTATTAATGCTGTACTATGTCATGCACATATTCAAATGTATCCTCTAATGTGCAATTAAAATGTAGCTGCGCTCCTTTGCCACTCTCCTCTTCTAGATATGTTTCCTACATTGATGGGTCATATGAATATTTTACTGCCATCATATCATGCTGCTGTTTTTATTATTTTATACAGTTGTTTCCTGCTTATATAAATAGTGCTTAAGGTAACATGATCATCTTCTCCATTATCTGGGTTCTGTAATCCCCCCCCCCCTTCTTTTCACTTGACGTTATTACTGCCTTGCCTTCCTATAAATTTATGACTTGTTTAAATAGAAGGTTGCCTAACCTGACCATCCGATTTCGCTGATTTGTTTCTTTTGCTTGATTGGGACTTCTATTAATGCTGGTGGTCCGCATATGCCTCATTATTTGTTTCCATTGTTGATCACTGTCAACATGATCTTTGATCTTTCTAACGGTAACTTTCAGCAACTAGCAAAGCCATACCTTTTGCAACCGAGTTACCGGTGACTAACGCCTCACCTCTTTATCTCTTCCCTTCCATGACCGCCGACCGTCCCCCACCGCCCCTTTCTCTCTCACTCCCTCTCCCTCCCCCACCGCCCCTTTCTCTCCTCCCCTCCCCTCCCTGATCGCCAGATTTCTTGGTGGGTGACTAGGGAGGGAGAGAAGTAAAAAAATAAGGAAGAGGTTGATTAGTGAGTTAATTAGGGGTTAGATGTTGATTAGTGAGTTAATTAGGGGTTAGAGGTTGATTAGTGAGTTAATTAGGGGTTAGAGGTTGATTAGTGAGTTAATTAGGGGTTATAGGTTGATTAGTGGGTTAACTAGGGGTTAACTAAGGGTTAGTTAAGGATTAATGACTAATGGAGTTAACGACTGTTAGTCATGAAGGGTACTTGAGGTGCTTTTAAAAAGGTGAGGGGTATTTGATGAATTTTGAAAACAACAAGGACATTTGGTGAATTGATGAGATGCCAAATCTAGAGAGATTTTCACGAGCTTATCTCATGCTCTTCCTGTGCACGCAATACCAAGCATTGTGCATCATGCATGTAGATAATTAAAAATATACTAGGCTTTGTATTGGAATGATCTTAAGACTATTAATAATAGCCTTATCTTTGGCTTTTGAATTAAAATGGCTCATTGAACTACCCATGCTTCTTATTTATCTTGATGTAGCAGGTGGTGGTTTATCAGATTATAGTGTCAACTGGAAAAAAAAAATAAAAAAGTTTGGTTTCCAAAGGGTAAGGCTGCGTACAATCATACATACAACTCCCCTTATTGTGACCATGACATGAGACTCATCTACGGGCATAGAGTTCCTGTTGGCATCGATGATGTCGATAGCACTGAGTAATTCTATATGAATTGATAGAGGCAAATTTGTCTAAGTTTATCATTTTGTAATTTTTTACATAAATTTTCTTTATAGATATAGTGTTGATCTCCTTTTCTCTCTAATCACAATTAGATGAGATTAAACACTCTCAGGAGTAGTGATAGTGTTAGAATTTTTCCATAAATGGCTTGTGAAGATTTGATGGCAAAGGCTATTTTAGATCTTCATACTCACAAATGCTGCCTCCTATTCCCTTAATTAGTTTCCTTTTAATAAGTGTTTAATGTGTCCTGTATCTTTAACTTATACCTTGATTTGGTTTCAAAATCTGAATGTAATTTATTCCTTATATATTTTACCCCAGTACCTGCCTATTCCAGCTGCGGCTTCAAAGTACTAATTAATTTCATTTCCTGTGGCCACTTTGTGTGTTCTTATATTGAAATGGTCCATCTAGCTTTCTTGCTTACTGGTAACAGAGTCAAGTGATGTTTGGTTAACTTGATGAATATCTATAGTTACCTACTTTATGTATATCTTACAGGAAAAAGTGGACTTCAAAGACCGGGAAACATATGAAGGCCTTTTCAAGGAATACTGGGATATTGTCAAGGAAAAGGAAGGGTTGACCTTAGAAGATCTGCATGATGCAGATGTCCAAATAAAAAAGGATGATGACAGGGACAAACCTCATAAGTCACATAAGTCTCGGCAGCTGCATCATTCTGACTCAGATGAATCTGTCAAAGAGGAAGAAAATAAAGAATTGATATCTGATGATGATCATGATAGTGATGGTGGTGATGACGGTGATAGTGCTGTACAGCCAGTAATAATTAGTAATAAAAAGAAGCCCAAACAGTTGCCAAGAAGGCGCAAAGGTCCTAAAAGAATTGAGTTTGTAGGTTGGGCCTCCAAAGTTCTTATAGCGTTCCTTGAATCTATTGGAGTAGATACGAGCAAGAAGCTATCTCAGGATGACGTGGCTTCACTGATCAATAAGTATGTACATGAAAATAAACTGTTTGATCCAGACAAAAAGAAGAAGGTTCTTTGTGATGTACGTCTGCGACCTTTAATAGGAAGAAAGTCATTTAGCATATATAAAATAAATGATGCTTTAGAAGGTCATTTTTCTGAAAACCTAGACAAGTCAGAAGGTGAAGGATATAGTTCAGGATGTGAAGAGGAGAAGGCCTCCTTACCTATAAAGAAGAATTGGTGGAGAAAGCTTGGATCCTTTCAGCATAAAGGATCACTTATGGAAAAGTTTCAACAGAAAGAGGCCGTATTAGAGGAGCCTAAAAAACCAATTGTTGTTTCTAAAGTTATTTATAGTCAATTTGCAACCATATCTCCACAAAATATGAAGCTCGTTTACTTGAAGAGGTGTTTGGTGGAAAAATTGTTGGAGCAGCGTGAAACATTTGAAAGCAAAGTGGTGGGAAGCTTTGTGAAAGTCAAGTCGGAACCATTTGATGCAAGGCTTCCATATCAACTCCTTCCAGTAAAAGGTAATGAATATGAGAGGATGATGAGTGATGTGTAAACTATTTAGATGGATACAGTGTTAACCTTAGTAATTTGTTTGTTTAACCTAAATATACTGTTGAAATGTTTTGTGCTTTTATTTTTTCCTACCAACTGTTTAACATAAGTATCAATTATCAAAGAATAATATCAGGATTCAGGACACTACAGTGCAATCTTACGACAGGAAACTCGTCAGATAAAATTTTACTCTACAGTGATCATTCATGTTTATATCTGTTGAACTGTTCCTCTTGTGACAAATTGGCGGGAAGTTAGCACTTGACTTAATGCTTTTCTTAGTTTCTATTCCAATTGCTTATTGTATTGATTTTTTCCTTTTATACCTTTGTAGGAATCTCGAACTCTGGTGAGAAGAACAATGGAAAGTTTTTTCTTCAAGTATCTAATCTAGCTAATGATGTTCCTATTCGCTTACTATCAAATGATGATATAGCTGAGGTACTTGATCAATTAAATACTCCTAATGTTGTATTACAGATGTTTCATGACTCATTGTAGTAAATTTGCTAATCTTTAATTTTTCTTTTTTACAAACATGTGATGTTCTATTATTTAGATAAAACTATATCTAATATCTTTGTCACCTTTTAAAAGTGCATAAAAATATTACTCTTTACCTTCTCCCTCTCCCTACATTAATAATATGTTAGTCGTGTTAATTAGAAGGCACTGATTATGGCTGTGGTTTCTTCCTTGAGCTAATAATTGATGTATGCTGTAAAATCTGAGCTTATTCTCAACAAAGTGTAAAATGAACCTTTACTAGGTGGGAATATGACACGGGACACCCTACAAAATCGTTATGATTTATTGTAGGCTTATATACAAGCTCTCTGGCTTGAGCATGCAGGAACTACATGTCTTTTGGCGTACCACATAGTTTCTCCATTTCCATATTCATTCCTATGATATATGTAGCTCTTTTTATATGGATCTAGCATTAGATTGTATGTTCTCTTGTTTTTTCCATTTAATATGTGGATTTACCCTTTTGCCTTCTGATTTCCTTTCATATGTTTGTTGTCGCGTTTCAGATTAGAAATAGTAACTATTAGCATTGATTTGTTTGTTATATGCAGGAAGATTGTGAGGGGTTGCGTCAGAAAGTGGACAATGGCCTTCTTCCTAAGCCTACTGTTGTAAGCTCTCTCAACTTTACTAGGACTCCAAGAAATACTATTGTACTAAGTATAAGATATTGTAGAAATGTCTTGAAAGTTTGGTAATGAATATTCAGATAACCATTTGGATTTTCTTCCTAATTGAACATCTATTCAACTACTGTAATAATGTATAGCTGACAAGAATTAGCAGAACATTTTTTAATTTTTACTAAGATGTATTGAATGCTTTACTAATATATACTAAAGGATCTGCATGGTATCTCATTTTTCCTTCTGCAACTGAAGTTTTCTGGTGAAATTCTTTGAGAGAGTGAAATATCTTGCCCAATTCTTGATTAAAAATATATTGCGCCAAACAGGTGGAGCTTGAGAAGAAAGCAAAAGAAATCCATGAAGATATTACAAAATATGTGAGTAACTCTATTACTAATATTGGAATGTTCTTTGTTCAGCTTACTTTCATAATATAAGTACCAAAAGGAATTTTGGTAATTTGGTATTCTAGAAAGCCATTAAGCCAAATGTAGGCCTTGGTACACAACATTGTCAAGGTGCTATCTGCGCCCTTATCATTTCGCAAGGCCCAGGCATAATCTCTTAATAATGGTGTTTGGATGGCGGAGGATAAGGGAAAATTGCTCTCTTATTGAATAATGGTGCTCTCTTGTATATTTTATAATCTCTCTTTGCATAGATCTCTGATGCTTAACATTGGGACTCTGCGTTGATTCTTCTTGGGGCATTTTGATTTACCGGTTTTAATTTATTGTTTCTTTGCAATATTCAACAGTGGATCACCAGGGAACTGTCTATCCTAAAGAATCGCATTGATCAAGCAAATGAGAAGGGACGGAGACATGAATATCCTTTAGAACTCATAATTGTATTTTTTTTCCCTTCAATTATTTCGATAATAAATTTTTGTGCAACTTCAATCTGCTTTTGGATGTTTCTTTGATACACTCACCAATATGTTCGTGTGCAATTGCATGCATAGTTACTATGTTGAAGTATTTATCCTTAACCTTGATGTCTTTTACATTATATGAATCTCGTCAAAGGAGAGACCTATTACAGTCAGAGGCAGAGCAGTCGCGCTTGCTAAATGAGGTCCCTAAAGTAATTGCAGATGTAATCAAACCTGATGAGGAGACTCAGGGTGATGATAATTCCGGAAATGCTAACACTCAAGTGATTCCCGGTGAAAACTCTGGAGGCAATGGGAATATTTCAGCGTAATTGGTACTCCATGACCCTAGGTAACTTTTAACATGTTAAATCTTATTCTGCACTTGATTGAATGATTTTTTTTTTTTTAAGGATTGATGATTTGAAGATTATAGAAACTGTTGCCAACTTCTGTCCTACTCTCTTACAGGGCTACAGAGTACTTGTTACAGTTAGTTTTTTTTTTATAAGCAGAAACTTGTATGAAACCTGTAGAGTGTAGATATGTCATTTGTTTGTCGTAAAAGATAAACCTTTGCCACTTAATTTTTTTTTTTTTTTTTTTTTTTTTTTTTTTTTTTTTTTTTTTGGCCAATAAATTCACTGTTTTGTATGTTGGTAACAGGTTTAGATTTTATACCAATGTATTTAATAACATCTTGCTAGATGATTCTCACTGACCTGATTTCGTTAATACTCGTAACTCTTCTTTGAGCATGAATAAAAAAAATGCTAACAATTTATGCTTTTTTTGGCTTAGTGTCCCAAATTAGCTTTAGAATCCGCTGCTTCATCATGTGGGTTCAAGGCCATAAAACCTGAAGACTTAGTTTGCTGTTACACTAATTATTTATTAATCGATATAGAACATTTTGTGTGTCTCATATTGTTCGCCCGTTTCTTGTATGGATTTTGAAAATGCTGGTTTGATGAAGCTGACTGATTTACTTTCCTTGCGTGACAGATGCAGAATAATTTCTGAAACCTACCTGCTATAGTATGCTACAGGCCTGCAGACGATTACAATACAGGTCTTAGAAGTTTTTGTTTTTTTCGGTTGGTAAAGTAGTTTTCTGTAAATACAGAAAATTTACAGCAGAAACCGTATTGTATTTAGTTCATGGCTTGTTCTTTAGATGAATAAGTGAGCTAAAACTTAATTGTTGATGATACTATGAAACAACTTAATGTTATGGAAAACTCTAGTGAATTTTGAACTAAGATATAAATCATGATCTGAACTCATTCTCATAATTGCTTCAGATTAGTTTTGATCTATTTGCTTCTGTAAATGTGATTTTTCACTGATGAAATGAACAGCACTATTTGAGCAAGAAAAAATGGAGCTTTAATGCTGATTAACGCCAGGATAACGAGTTTACGTTCTATCATCCGCACTATCAAAGGCTAATAGTTTTGTTTATTTCTTAGATAAGCTCCCTGTAGCTTGAGTAGGTGATATGTTGAAGATAGCTTAGCTATTGTGTTTACTCCCCCTGTCCTATGTCAGAGAATTACTTCCTCCAATTCTATTTACTTAACCCATAGTCTTTGGCCAATATTTTAAGGAGATGAGACATGAGAGTAATTATAGTTGGTGGGCCTGGTGGCCTTTGGTAGACATAATTTACTTTATTATACCCAAAGTTGTTTCTACATACATTTTATAGGGGTAATTTAATGAATTTGTCTAGCAAAAGTTTACCTAATATAAAGTATAGTATAGGTCAAGTATATGACATTTCCATCGAGCAAAGTTTGGTCTAGTGGTAAGATTTGCATCTCCCAACCATCAGGTTGTGGAATCAAACCCCACCAAAGACACTTTAGGGTGGGGATTTCCTTACCCTTCCCCCCACTTCTAAAGTGCCTAGCCCGCTAACCTAGGCCGGGAGGACCTCTGAGAGGTTTCAGCCCGGTAGGGCCCTTCGCCTTACCAATAAAAAAAACAAAATTATTTTGCTACACTTAGGATATGTTTTATTCACCCGATTTTCACTTATCTGAACTCACTAAAACTTAATATAGTTGCAATTTGAACTTAATAACAGAACTTATTTGAACTTAATGGAGCTTATCTGAACTTATTAGACCTGAAATAAATAAAAACAAGGTGAACAGACCATTAGTGAATATTTAGTTATAAGATTTATGTTAGTTATTGATTGCTGATGGGTCCAAAGTAAAGTGAGAAATAATCATACCAGTAAATGAAAAGGTCCAACTCCATACCATCTACGGAAAAGAAAAGGGAGAAATGCGTTGACTATAGGTTTTATAAATACAAAGTGTCAAGACAGTTTCAAGATACGGATAATCGATATAACTCTATTTCGGCCCTAGAATTACTATACTCAAAAACGTTCAGAAATTTATTCTGAAGCTACAAGATCCAGAAGTATGACTAAACAGCTTAATGACCAAATAACTATACATACAATAACATCATTTATATGCACCTTTGCTGAATGTTGATAACAAAATGTTGACAGAAGCTTATTCTGAAGACTGAAGAAACTTTGAACTTTAACTTACAAAAATTTTATTAATTTTACCAACCGAAAAGTAGTGTCATACTTCTGTAAGGTGAACCACCTTGAGTAGTAAAGGATGTTGTCAGAAGATCCAAGCTTTGCTTGATTGCTTTATATATTTCCAATTTACAAAAATATGGGATAGTTTTAAAGGTCACAATGGCCCCAAGAGAACAAAAAATTATGCATATCACATCGTGTTTGGGAGAACTAACAACTTCCCAACAAAGAAGCAGGCATCAATTGAAGCCAAAGTAAATGTATAATTATGTTAGGACGGCCAATGTCTGCAGCCTGGTACTGATTCCATGCAACACCTCAGTGTTTTACATGCCTCAAATAGACCACCACACCAACAGCTGTTACCATCACTGTACCTGCCAGAATCCCTGAATGAACTGATGTCCATCTAGATCTCTCAACAACAGCGGCACTAGTCTCTGAACTGGTTTCCTTGACAGCTTCAGGGAACTCTAGAAACAACCTTATAACCTGTTGAGGAGAAGATAACATTAAAGAGACAAGAAAATATATATAAACCTCCTGATTTGGAGGATGATACTGGAAAGTGAAACCTGTAACTATTAAGGGTCAATTCTATGCAACTTATTTTGTTTAAGCTATCTAAACTTCCATAAAATTTGCTAACTTGAATTTATGTCATAACTTATTTCGTTTGAATTTAATTGTTGACAAAAGCAAGCAGGTAGAAGAATTTAATAAAATCATGATTGTATGCTGCTCTAAATCCAAAAAAAAAAAAAAAAAAAAAAAAATGAAACTATTTTGTGATAAATGAGCAGGACATGCACAGGATGCACTGATGCACAAGGTGAGTGCAACCAGGGGTAATTTCTGGTTCAAAGCAAGGAGATTGAAGCATCAATCCTCTTCTACAAATCCCCACTCCCCTTCAAGTCCTTAAATCCGCACCAACCACACCATCCCCCTCCTCATCCCCACCATCAAATAGCCATGAAGACCACCATATTCCCTGCCTCCAGCATTCCCCGCTTCCATGGATGGATTTGCATTTGCTAGCTTCTCTGTGTTAGAGTTTATTGTATCTTCAGAATTTATCCTCTTGATTCTGCAGCCATTACAGGACTGCAAATCTGCAGCTTCCATACACAAATCTAAACGCGGATGCTTGATACATCTTGACTTCAACTTTGAAATTATCTCATGCTACAGCTCAAACATCATCATTTTCAGCAATCATTTTCTGCGAGCCCAATTATTTTTAAAAGTATTGAGTAGCTATAGAATCCAGAATACCATGGCACAATGACTGGATCTGGTCATGCTAAGCTCCAAATTAGGCTTCCAGAAACAAATCTAGCAAGGTGACGGATATGTGAATAGTTAATGCCTCTACATCCCATATAGATGAATACATGGAGAAAAAATGAAGGTGGAGTGGGCCTTTATAATCCTAAAGATGAGGATGATAATTCTAACAGAGTAAACACATGCTGCTTGATTGCTGAGATGAAGAGGGTCAGGGTTATAAAATCCTATGTTGGTGTTTTAGTTTGTTTGGACTACCATGATTATCACCCACACAAAGAAAAATGGTAAGTAAATATAGATTAAATGCCTCAAAATTACAGCTAGCCAATCCTGGGAATCGACACAGCCAACCTATAAAAAAGAGAGCTTACAAGAAAATTGGAGAATAAACAGCCCTTGTTCACCTCTAAGCCTAATAATTAAAGAACCTGTAAATTGCTCCAGAAAGTAAGAAAACAAGCTAGACATGCAGCTACTTTACCCAAAAGTAATCAGCTAAATGACAACGGAACATAGATCTAACATACACAGTAATATTCATGACCTTAAGTTGTAAAACCAGCAGACATTCCAATTGGTTGCACAATGACCTAGCGTAGCTGTAAATTATTGCGGACGCAAGAATTAATCACAGCATACCAAGGAGGAATAAAATCTAGCAGAACTTGATGAGCCACATTCAACCATAAAATGTGTATACCTTTCCACTAAGCTGCACTCTTCAATTATGATAATGTTTTCACTAATCACCTAGCGAACCTGTAATTGTTTTCCTTTCCAAGAACCAGAGGCAATACCAGACTCAAGCCCTAATCCAGAGCCATACATCAGACTTTTAACAACCAGAGTACCACAAAACCTAACCTAGCTAGCCTATCAGGGGACGGAAAAAAAAAAAAAAAAAAAAAAAAAAAAAAAAAACACTACAATATTGGTCAGTGGTAAATATTGCACCAACTAAAAGCAATAGCTGGCCATTTTTTCAGCGCTCAAATTTTGGAATGAAAATGGGGGAAATGAATATCAGATTTCCCTCACAAAGCTTTACTTTTTGTGCAATGATGAACTTACCTGCTGTCCTTCGAAAAAATGCCCTAAGCTATTCTTGATTAGTCAGAAGAAAGCTAGCATAAAAGCTAACCTTCCACATATCTCACCTACAACGTGATCCTTTTGGATAGCTGTTAATATTAAACAGCTAAACATGTCTGTTTTTGGTTTAGTAGGAAAACAAACACGCATTGCAAAATGGAAAATCCAATCCTAAAGCTGCAATGCAGTGTCAAATATCATCCAGATTCGGAAACCTCTCTCACATAGACTACACTGTTAGTGGGAAATTTAGAAACCAAGAATTTATGATGTAGTTGTATGTTGAAAAAAAATAATAAAAATAACATGCCCCTGGTAACACTTATAATTAATTAATTAATGTTAGTGGTTAATTTGGAAACAAAGAAATAATGATACAGTTTCAAAATGATGCACTGAAGTTTGTAGGTTGACCTGCAAAATTGGGCAAAATTTAGTACCTTTTGTCCCACTGATTTTGCATGAAGCGCAGCACCAATGAGATCAGAATCACATGTGAGTAATATTTTATCACCTTCATCATCTTCGTACTATAATTAAACGAACATAATGTTAAAAACCATCATATAATGAAAAGGGAGGCCAAAACGTAACTATCACAGCACAAACTTACCAATAACTGTGGACGGTTGCCACTGTCACTAGACCCTATTCTTTGCATAACAGCAGAAACAAGCTCGTCCAAATTCTCAGTCGCTGAAGAAAATTATAAAAGAAAAGGGGCAGGAACGTCAAATTAGGTTCCGTCAACACAAAACAGTGAAATATCAAGTAAAATTGCATATTCACAAACATGGTCTTTCCTAACCATTAACCTCACCCTACTATGACATATTGACATCAACCATTAAATAATATTACGATCATTACTAATCACACATAACAACATACCAACTACTTTCACCACAAATGACTACATTTTCTGATGCAAGGTTTGCTAAACATGACATGGTTTATAGTCCACTTCTTAAATGTTGAGCCAACAAGTACATCCAACAGGGTGGATTATCTTTAGCAGAAATGCCTAATTACCCACTGCCATGGGACAAGGGTCCAGAAAACACGAGGGGTTACAGAAAATAAGAGGATAGCAATCAACGCATTGCATAAGCAATCATAATCATATGTGTCAAAATCTTCACCAAAGATAAACAATAAAGGAACAGTGCCTCTCTTGCTGCATTTAGCAGTGTACATGGAAATCCAGAGCAAATACATCTCTAGATAAGGAAGAAAGATGAATCCAAGTCCACGTCAACTAAAGGGAGTTGGACTACACCAGGAAATAATGCAAGAAAAATTTTCAAATACTACCTTTTCCCCTCCAAAAAAAAATTAAAGGGGGTAGGCTGTGAGGCATGGACAAGAGACACAGAGAGAATAAACAGAAAATGGGAAAAAATAAGGAAACACGGGAGCACTGCAATTTACCTAATTTAAACTTTTTATCTGACTTTTCATGAAAACCCAGGGAATGATAATGCACTACAGGACTGCCAAAAGTTTGAAAGAGGATAGTAGATACTGCCAATGTTCCAAAATAAATGCACCCGATTTTTCTTCCATAAAGTCCCAATACTCCCAATACAATCTTTGTTCCACAAATTCATACAAAAAGATTCATTCAGTTTTTCACTTAAAAATATTATCTAGTCAAGAAGCCAGCACCAGCTTTATACGTGGGGCAGAAAATTATCCAAGGCAGTATATACTGCTACCAAGGAGATTTTAAAGTGTTTTCCTAATGTCCAAGCAAACTAAAACCAGATGCTACATGACACTTACCAAAAGTAAATCGGTGAACACGCCCTTTAGGGTCCTCAAATTTAAATGAAAACGAATTTCCAAGACCAAGTGACGGATATTTTCCCAAATCTGTTCCTTCAGAATTCATCAGTGCAGCTGACATTTCACTGTAAAATTTATCCCTGTTATAACAAGACCATAAAGCTTGAAGGACAATCCAGAGAAAACAATTACCTATGAGAATCTGAATCATCTGGTGGCTCCAATGCAAGTGCTGAGTCCCAGAACTTTTGCATCATTGTGTTTGCCATATCATTCATAGTTCCAGAGCTATTCTCAACCTTAAAATGGTAAGAAAGTAAACATTAAACAGTAGTTATAAACAATGGTAATTACATAATATTAAATAATTACACCAGAAGACTAGATCGACAACACTAAAACCATATACATAAATCCAGCCCAAAAAACATATACATATATGATATATCCAGCCCAAAAAACGTATACATATATCCAGCAGGTCTTGATTTGGTAAGGCCTTTATTCTTAACATTTAAACCTTGATACAAACTTATACAAATTCAATATGAGACATAGTGACTTAGATTAATTTGCGAAATTCCCACAAGATGTTGGCAAAATTATAACAGCATAGGTATTCAGCTGATACGGAATTACAGAGCAATTCTTTACAAAAAATCAAAAGAAAAAGAAGCAAAATCAATGGACATGTCCTCTCTATAAAGCGTATTCACCCTGAACTTTTTCTTTTTTTTTTTTGGGTGCAAAGGAGCCTTGAAGGTCCAATTAGTAGAAATGGTTTTCAGAGCCATATATCGTTACAATCCTCTACACTAGAGCAAATGCCATTTGAAGTCTGCTTATCTTTTGTATTTACCAAAAAAGGCTAGAAGGCAATTTCTTGGAGTAATCATCCTCTAAATTACAAGTTTTCAAATAACAGTCTTTGAAGACAAATACTTTCATATAGAATGAAAGCCAAAAGATGAATGCCAATAAGCAACACAAGGAGATATGTTTGCAACAGCAATACAATAATTTAAGACATTTTATCAATGCCTTAGTTGGACAACAATGCCACAAGATTTCAGAAAAGAAGAAAGGAAGTAACAGTGCCAAACACTAGGAATACAAAATAACTGGTCCGCCATTACATGATCACACAATGATAGAACAGATCCAAGAAAAATGATTACCATGGAAATAGCAGCATGAGTTAGCATTAAGACATCAACACAAGCAGCAACAGATCCATCTGCAGAACCAAAACAATCACAGGAACATTCAATGAGCTTAGATCACCTATTTTTAAGGTCACCTACTTGTAATGACTAATGCATATATCCTTACCTCTGTCCAAAACTGGAAGATGAAGGAATTTCCCATCGTGCATTATGTGCAATGCTTCAAGAATTGTTGTTTCCAAATTTGCACATTCAGGATTGGATGTCATCACCTTGGAGGAGTACATGCAAAATTAGATTTTTTTTAAAAAAAAAATAATAAAGAAAGAAAGAAACAGAATTAAAACAGCTATCCTTGAAAGGACGTTGAGCTTCAAAACCTTTTCCACCAAAGTCAGCTCAGGTGAAAGATTCTGTGCTACAACCCGCATGAGTATATCCCTTGACCTGCAAGATAGACAAAATGCACCTTAAACAGAAGTTAACCCAAGAAATATCACAGCAGAATACGAAATCTAGGTGAAATAATGTACGTTAGGATTCCAAGAACTTTGATCCCACTTGTTATGATTACGGAATTAACACGATAGTCCCTCATCTTCTTTGCAGCAACAGAAACAGGGTCAGACGGTGAGACTGTTGCAACCCTGAAAGACCCAAAGCCATACATCTTAGCACCAAACACAAACTAGGCAAGCAATATCTCAATACAAAATAGCTCATATGCAAATTTAAGTCAATCCATACTTGGTGTTTTCTGTGATAACAGTCGACAAAGAAGGCTTGAACATCCGTTCCCTTAATGTCTCTATAAACGCAGCAGGTGCTGGAAAAGAGATCAAGTGAAGATCATTTGATTAATTATCGTCCAACATAAAGTCGTAAAAAAAAAAAAAAAAAAAAAAAAAAAAAAAAAAAAAAAAATGAAGCAGAAGAAAACAAAGAGACAAATGTCACTCAGATTAAATTCTAATAAAGTTCATAGTGTCTCATGACACTTAGTTCACTATCTCAAGATTCTCAACTCTGCAACCATGAGTATGAACTGTACAAACTAAAAGGTTGAAGGAGCTTTGGGACACTGATGTATGCAAGGGAAAACAATGAGAAGGCAGCACATAATGAAAACCATCCTAAAAAGTTAGCCTTTTAAAATCCCAAGTTTACTGCTCAAAACTATTGTTTCAAAAAATAATAAGAATTTTGGACAGCCAACCCAGCATATCTGAACAAAACAAATGAACCGAGGGGAGGGGGGGGGGGGGTTTGAGAAGAGTGCTTAACTAACCACTGAAATTGTTACCCATCTGACGCTCAACTCCCTCAACTGCAGCAGCAATAGCACTACCCTGCTCGGCAGCTTTCTCCATTCTTGAAATGGCATCATATAAACACCTTGTAATATCCAACAAAGCAATCACTTCACCATTTTCTACTACAGGAAGATGCCTGAATTTTCCTGTTGAACAGTCACAGAAGATATTACAAAGTTTTCAACAGAAAGCCAACATAATAGACATCAAACATTGAAAACTATAGATGATATGGGAATATGGATCGCATTGGATCAGAAGAAAGAATTTTTATAAAAAAAAAAATATCATTTTGGCGCTTGTAAACCAACATTTTTGAGATAAATTTCAGGTGATTTAAATTAAAAATACATATGACATTGCTGGAAGAATTGTCCTCCTTGATGGAAAAGGACGTGCTCCACTTTTAAAAGTAGTCATTTTCAACTCCTTGGAGCAAACATTCTCTTCATAAAACATCTCACAAAATATAAAGATAGTGTCTTTTTCACCTATTTTTGGTAGAGTTCATGAAAAAAAGGTCCAGCCATGCAATCATATCATTATTGAAAACAACTTAAGAAGATAATTTGCATCCTTGGTTCACATCATCTACCACTATTGAGCACCAAATATCAGAATCCAAGCTTTTTTGTATAAATTTTTAAGAAGCAATACCTGTACATGCAGCAGGGGAGAATGAAACCAGCTTGGAAACCTCATTTTTGGCACTAGACCTAGGACCTTATGTACTCCACCAATTTTCACGATGTGCTATAAGGAACAAAATACTCCCCCCCAATTCAAAGTAACTATTCTCTTTTCCTTTATAGAATATTCCAAATTAATGGTCTCAATTGTAATCATTTTTTTTATCCACCCATTTAACACAATATTCCACTACAACTTCATCCTACTAGTTTTATTCCACTCTACTTATTGTATGCGGAAATTAAGAAAAATTCAACCAAAACAAACACTCCAAAATGAAATGGAGTTGACATTAGAAAATGCCTCTAACCTTGAATCATCTTCTGCAGAGCATCAATAGCTAATGTATCCGAAGTCACAAATATCGGATTCCTAGTCATAATTTTCGATACAACAGTCTGTTCCGGCCTCAACTCCTCTGCTATAACCCGAGTAGCAATATCCTAAATACCACATACACAATCATAAACAATCAATCAAATTAACCCCAACAAAAACACAAAATTCAATCAATCAACACCAAACCAAAACATCAAATTAACCTTATCAGTAACAATTCCAGATAACAAAGCATTAGAATCAGTCAACAACACAGCATCAACACGACGTGCCGCCATCCTTCTACAAGCATCCGACACCGACGTCCCTTCCGGAATCGTTAATGCCTTTGACAACTTCAACTTCTTCACCGTTCTCTCTCCTCCCGCAACAGACGACCTACATACATACATTTGATACATACACATTGTTAAATTTGTTAAATTCCAAATTTTTTTCAAATCAACAAAATTAATCAAAACCCCATTTCAAAAATCAATAACCCCATTTCAGTTCCAACAAAAATTAAAATAAAAAACCAACTTTCAACCAAAAAAAAAAAAAAAAGAGAGAAAAACTAAATATTACGGAGGTGAAGTAGGCTTGGAGGAGGTTCCATTTTCAGCTGGTGGCGCCGATTTTTTCGCCGCCGTCGCCGGCTGCCGTTTCTGGGTCAAACTAGTTCTTCTCGGCGGTGGCGGTGGTACCACTTGAGAAGAACTCATTTTTTTTTTATTTTTTAATTTATTGACAATCAAAATAAAAACACAAATCAAATTGGGGAAAATCAATCTAGGGTTCCAAGGTCAAATGTTTTTTTTCAAATTTGGGGATGAGAGGAGAGAGAAAGAGCTAGGGTTTATCTTTTTCTTAAAAAAATAAAAAAATCTCTCTCCTTAGTTGTAAGAGGGACCCACTTTAAGTTTTTAATTCTGTCTTTGGTGAGTTTAGATTTTCTCTCTCCTATTTTGCGCCAAAATAAATAATCTCGATTTTCGTGATTTTTTCCCACCCAAAATTATTGCAATTCAAATTCAACGTTTTTTTTTAAAATAATTTTTTATTTTTTGATTGGGTAACGTGGAGTTTAAGCCACCTTATAATAATGGGCCAAGTGGCCCAATTGTGAACCTGCAACGTGGGGAAGATTGGAAGAACATTCGAATATAATATGTCTGGCCCATATTGAAGTCCATAATGTTATGATTATAAATTTATAATCGTTCAGCCTTATTATGTTTGGGTTGAGTAATTGGAGTGTTGAGTTATGATCCATAATGTCATCATTGTAGATTTGTCATCAAACCTTAGACAAAAGAGGTGTCATGGATCTGAATATTTTGATCATTGTGCTTGTTTGAATTGCTTGTACTAGATGCTTCATGTATGCCTTTTTGAGATAGAATTAGTGTTTGATCCCGAGCGATGAATCCGAATTTATTTTGGATAGATGGTCATTATTACTGGTTTTGTCCGATAGATTAGTTGTTGGTTGGTTCACTTAGTTTGGTTGATTAACTTACTCAGAGTATTAGCTATGTGTATCAATGTATTGGTTGTTTTAGTTGATTATTGGGGTTAGTAAAAAAAAACTTAATATATTTCAGTCATGGAAATGTTTGGTTAATTTAGTTATTCGATGCTTTCTTTGTATGTCAATTCATGGTTCTCTTATTTTAGTGTTTGAAAATGTGCTTCAAGTCCAATAAAGTATATCAATATGAAACGAAGAAAATAGTAATGAAAACAATATGTAAAGTAGCTAGATTTTCATTCCTTGACTGAAAAGAATTGGCTAGTGACCTATTTTAATAACCTCTTTACGAATTACATACAATCCAATAACATCACAATTGAATCATATATAGGTATTGATCATCTGATGCATCTATATTGTAAACATCACTGTATTTTTTTTTCTTCATTGATAAAATCCATTTTGAACATTCAAGTGTTCAACACCTAGTTTTATATGACTTTCCCAATAAAATACTCAATATATACTATCAACTCATGCTAGCCAAAACCTTTTGTTTTTTTTGTTTTTTGTTTTTTATTTTTTACAAATCAAACTAGCTTATTTTAGTTGATTAGAAGTAATTTCAATTCTAATTCTACAAGTGCGATTATGTCATTTTTGTCATGTAGTTTTTATTGATCACAATTAAACATGATTTTACTAGTTGAAAAGTATATCATGTCAAAATTTATCATACATATTCAAGTGACAACTTTAAACATTAGTACAAAACCAACTTCAAATCATCAATGACTATATTATCGTGTCATATAATTCATGAAAACTAGGCCACTCTAGCCTTCAACCATAGCTTTGATTTATGGACCATTTGGACCATCTATGACACAAAATTATACAAAGACTCATGGAAACACACGAACAAGTTAGACAGAAATTAGAGTGATGAACTTCCTCAAGTCCCTATCCTCCACTCTATACAACTCACAAAGGTCCCAAGTATACCTTGGAAATTTGGAATGGATGACTCTATTATTGCTCCTCACCTGCCTCTTCAAATAATCCATTTTGCTACCGGCCATACATGTTTCCCACAATTCAACTTCAATTATGTATGCAATATGCCTATAAAATAAGGACATCATATTTCGTATATATTCTAATTGTCTCTAAATGTTGTTCTTACTTTTAAAGAGAGTGATAATTGAATTAGTATATAAACGAAGGTGAATTTTTCTAAGTTATCATGGCTAGTAGTTTAGTACTAAGCTACATATGAATCCGTAATAATTACTTCGTATTGCTGCATGTTTGAGCCTATTATAACTTGATCCTAAGTGGATCTATCAAAACTTAGCTTGTACGGTTGTACCTATACATGTATTGTTATTATAAATGCTCATAAGCTTGTTCTCTTCACCCTTTGTCTCATGGAATTATTAAATTTTGTCAGAATGTAATCAAACTAGCTAGAAACATTCAAATTAGATCGAACCAAAACTTCTAGTTTCTGTTCACTTATTATTATATATCTTTATTTTCATATTAAAGAAAATTTATATTATGAGAATTAGATAGTTGAAAAGTACTCATTGAGATAAATTTAACAAAAAATTCAATTTTGCATAAGCCAAGTGACCTGAAAAAAAATTAGTCCAAATCTGATCCAAATTTAATAATTATCATCATATTATAACACCTTATTTCAAATAAAGATTCAAAAACTAGTCATTAAATTAGGCTTGTGTATCTAACACCTCATTACAACTTTCATAAGAAGCTAGTTTTGACGTACACCTCAATTACAAATGATTACATGTTATTATCACTTATTACTACCAATACTTAAAAGTCAAATAAACACACACATACGTTGAAAAATGTGACATAATTCTAAATAATTCCCATAAAATCAGCTTCTTATCCCCCACTTGATAGAACTTGGTGCAACGTGGGCCCAACGTGATAAGCACATCTGTCATCAAACTCCAGATCACACTCTATTTACCAATCAAACTAACCATCATTAACGAGCAATAATCAACACCCTTATATGGTTTTTTTCTGATTTATAAAACAATATCAATGTCTATTAGTTTTGCCTTATGTTTATCTAATTATCTACTATGGAGTATTCGGAATAGTTTATTTAAAACGAGAAATTTTAATTAATAGATTATTCATCAGTATGTACAATACTCGTAATATATAAGAAAATCATAAGCTTGATATATTGTTTAATTTGTCTCATTATATGATTTTGAACTCTGTTGTTTATTATTATTATTAATATTATTATTATTAATATATTCGTACTTTAAATCCATCATGGCGGGCAACATGCTCTCAATACAATGCATAGAGTGTTAGATTGTATTGTTGTGAAAGTGCCTCCCGCGGTTTTCATTTTAATCACATAGCTTAATTATGACTGTTTGGAGATATGCATTTAAAACTGTGTATGTACAATCAAATGAGACCAAACACTAAATAACAAAGCTTGTATTTGCTAACTTGAAATAATGAAATGAACAAATTTTGAAAAAAAATCATGGACCATCAAAGTGGACCTTCACTATAAATATGAGATAATAAGATAATTAATTATATAAAATAAATAGAAATATAATTATGGATGCGTGCATGCAAGTCCTAATCAAATTATTTGTTCTCACCCTAAATTCAAATCATTACAAAAATAAACATACTAACATAATGCATAAATGTGCATGTATGTACTCATGTGGTCTTTAACATGACCGACACATTTTATTTAATTATTTAGATACCATGATTTATGCATCAATTAGATGGAGCAAAAAGATTAGCAAGGAAGGAAAGCATATTAATTGATACCTTTGTATGCTTTGTTTCATTTAAAGTAAAAGTTAGATTTGTGGCACTTTTGTTTAAGGTTGTTAATTATTACTTTTAGTTAAAAGTATTCCTTTAAATACCATACTCTTTATATAGATTTGTTGTTCATATGACAGAGAGAGATTTTATATGAACTATTTTATGCTCGGGAAGCCACAATTATTAGTAAAGAGTATGAAAATAAATCATAATTCAACTACAATGATGGGTAGTAAAAATACTAACATTAAAGGACTTATACAAAAACTTATGAAATTTAAAGTTTAAAGAGTTTGTTCGATAATTAATCATTTTAATATTCTGTACTCCGTTGTTATTAATTGTAGTTTTTGAAAATTTGTTGACAAAGAGTTAAACTACACATTCAAGAGAAAAGAAAATTATGGAGAATCTTAGAGTAAGAAGGAGAATTAAGAAAATAAAAATTATTGCATCATGGGCTAAATAGCCAGCCAAAATTAATAGCCTAACGATCATCTATATGATGACTATTTGACTTCAATTCTCTGTATATACGAGTATTATACTGTTATATGCATCAATGTAAGAAAGTGATGCAAAGCTAGAAGTTGTTACAAACTCTCTAACAAACTAGTTGTAGGCGTCGTAACTAATAAGGGATGACGGAAAATAGAAAGTGTTCCGAATTTTAATTACAATACAATAAAATTTAATACTCAACTTCAACGCATTCTCTTTTGAGAGGAAAAAAAAAAGTAAATTTTCATAAATTTTAATATTGTTTTCCTTTACAAACTTGATTTATCATTTTATATTAAAATATTGAATTACAAAGTATAATTACAGTAATTATGATAACATCAAGCCGCCTAACTTGAGAAACATGGATAAAGAGCAATTCGAAAGTGTATCGATCTGATTTCTTCCACGTCTCTTCCCCGTGCACATATATACATCCATACAAATGTAACAAAAACACAAAAAGAAACAATGTGAAAAAAAACTTTAGAGATGCAAACCTACAAAATTCATGAAAGCTACCCCAAAATATTGGATTTAATTGTCTAACACACACACGAGCGCACACACAAAAAAATTAAAATAAATAAATAAATAAAATAGAGTTAATTTCATATACTTCTAATAAACAATCGGAATATTTTTAGATTTGTTGAGTTTGATGTCACTACCTTTATTAGTCGTGGGAGTGATTTTAAGGATATACCAAATACTCTATATTTGAAAATTCAAATGTCAATTGAATTCGATCCAAAAATAGGATATTAAAGCCAATAAATATAATTTAGATTATGTACATGATTCAAAAATTATTCTAGGGTATGACATGTGTTTAATGATATAATTAATTTTATGCTTTTGATTTTTTCGATTTGACTCAAATTAGGTTTTTGATTCAAACATTTGGATACCCATACCTCATTGGACTACTTATACTCTTAGTCTCTTATAGGTATTGAATTTTACATTATTGTATATACAATATTCGATCCAATAACATTATTCGTTTTAATATGAGTAACTTATTTATGCATAACCTTAGTAATTTACCTGATAGATAGACCAATTTTTTTCAAAAAAACATCCTCTATCATTGAGAAAAAACCACTCCAACCAACAATAAAAAATTTCAACAACCCACATTATTAGGCTTTACAATTTCAACAACCAACCATATAAACGTCCTCTATCATTGAGAA